ATATATATATATATAAATCATTTGTGTTATACATATATTGGTATTATATTTACAAATATTATTTACTACATAAAATTATATTGATACCTTAAAACTTCGTAAATCGAATTTTTTTACCAATTTCAATTTTTTATTATTACATTAGTATGTTTATATTTTTATGTATCAAATTTTTTTTAAATAATTCCAAAAACTTATTAACAATTGAAAATAATTTTAAATTCAAAGTTTAACAAATTAATCGGAATATGTTATAAATAATATGTTATAAATGAAAAAATTTAGATCTTTTAGAGTTACGAGAAAAATGACCTGTTATTGAAAAAAAGATAATAAATAAGTCATGGAAAAATTAAATGTTATAAGTCACCACAAGGAATGAAATAATGTTAATACCGACAAAATGTTTGTTTTTGTGTATCGCCAACAGACATTGATGCACTAAATTATGTATCTATACCATTGGGTTCTATAACATACTGGAGCGAGCCTTCCTATCCCGAACAAAGAAAACTGCGTCCGCGATTTAGAAAAGGACACATATAACAATGTGAGGATTTCTGTCTCTTTTTACGTTCTATTGCTTATGCTGAAAACATACGCTGACAAGGAAGACTAGCCTCACGTAATCTATCTGTCTTTTTCGACCGATGGAGACATCCCCACTTCTGAAAGGCTCGCTCCAGTATGTTATAGAACTCAATGATCTATACATATTTCCATAAAAGTCAATAAAGTAAAATTAGCTCAAATATTAAACTTCTTTCTCTTCTCTATTATGACAACAAAACAGCATTTGTTTAAACAATATTCTTTTTGCACTTATGCTGTATGTCAGAATAGTAAATACATACTTCATCGTTTATCTTTACATTTCCACCAGACCATAAGGCACAATAAATTCCGTAGTGTTGAATTTTTTCATCAACGCTGCACCGAGAATATAAAACATATGTTTAACTAATTTAAAAATAAAATAATAAATAATGAAAAGAATCAATGAGAAAAGAATTATTGCAAAAATAATACCACAAATAAAATGAAATTAATTGAATATTTTGTATCTGTGAAGTTAGCACGACATTCTATTAATATAAAATTTTATATAAAAAAATATATAAAAATATAGTATTATATTTTATATTATAATATTATATTATAATATAAAAAATTTTTTATATTAATAGAATGTCGTGCTAACTTCACAGATCCGAATATTTCGCAAATACATTTTATTAAATGCGGTTGAAAAATAACAAGTAGGACTGTTTAATGATAATATGTCAAAATTTGAAACTAATAAAATCTATTTTTAAAATAAAAATTAGAAATTTTTAAGCAGAATATCTTTTATAGAATTGGTCAAACTTTTTATAACCATCATAGATACTGATATTTTGAACTCTTTAATTACAAATTCGATAATAAAGATAAATAAAGCATAATTGTAAAAATAAAGATAGAATTAATTGTATAAGTGCAAATACCTCGGAACTGGCTTGATATTTCTGAGAATTACATCGTTACCGATTTTGATCCAATCCCAGGTTTTCTCTTCAAAAGGATTTATCGATCCTCCATCAGTGTTAACCACAATATTTGGCGTCACAGTTTTAAACTCTCTACTTATTGCTATACATGTCTCTATTGTCATCAGTACAAAACGTGGTAAAGTTATGAATTTCCCCTAAAAAAACATCAAATTATTTTGTGAAAATTTTTTAATTTTAAAGTGTATTAAAACGATCCAAATGGATCCAAATAAATATAACAAAAAAATAAACTTAACAACTTTAATGTCAATTCGTACTTTTTAATGCTAAAAGAACATTTCTAGAAACATTTATATCAACAAATTATTTATATTGTACGTGATTATACTAGTTCATATTTGTGTTATAGAGATCAATTAATTTATCAAAATGTAGAGATCAGTTGAGCAATAGCTTAATGAATATGCTTTGTTTTTAGAAAATTAGTTGCTGGTTTTGAAAATTAATGGTTGAAATTTGAAACATTCCTGGAGTGATTTTTGAAAAATAATTTATCGCTCTTCTACTTTTGCACAAAGGAAGTTCCTCTCACACGAAATAAAAAAGAGACCAATCCAATGTTTCTTGCGAAAGACATTCTTATACTTGAGAAACCACCCTAGATCACTTAAAATTAATTTTCATTATGCCAAAAATGATAATGATAATAAAAACTTTATTATATAACCGAATTTTGTGGATGATACTAAGATGTTTCTTTGTGCAAAAGCAGAAATGGAACACATCATTTTTAGCATACCGAAAATAAATTTTAAGTGATCTAGGGTGATAAGTCTCTTTTGTATTTTGTTTGTGGATCTCAACACTTTTTCTCTGCAAAAGATGAAATGCGACAAATTTTTCAAAAATCGTTTTACAAACGTTCGAAACTTCAACCAGATATAAACGTTGATAACAAATGTTCAGTTAAATTTTAGCAATTAAACGCGCGGCACTAAGCACACTGCAATTCTGTTTCTTGTGTTTGAAAATGTAAAGTAAAAAGCAGAAAATTTTATTTGTATTAACATTTTATAATAAAGATAAGAATTAATTGTAAGAGTTACATGACTGTACATATTTGATGTTAAAAAGCTTGGAAATAGTTATACGGGAACAATAAATGAAGTAACTTTTTGCAATCATGAAACTTTGTTTATGTTAGTACTGTTCCCGTATAACTGTTCCAACAACTTTTGGTTATATACGTGCGGTCATGTAACTCTTAAAATTGCTTGTGTTTTTCTTAAAATTGTGTGCGATTAATTTGTATCTTTTTATATAATGTTAATCACGTTTATTCCATTTTTCTTGTATATCCTATCTGACAAATAGTTAATAATATACATATGTTACAAAATGCGTGCTATTATGTAATTTTTAAAATTGTGTATGGTTTTAATTTGTTATTGACACAGAAGAAGGCCTGATAACAGGCGGAAAAGTTTGATTATCTTATTTCTTTTCAATGTTTTGCACAAACAACTAGCATTGGCTTATTTTGCTCTTTACATTTATGTTTTGAATTAATAATATTGAATAATACTGAATTATGTTAATTACTGTTTCATCTTCTTCCATAGTTTTGTACCCTTGAACAAAGCGGCACCAATTGTCTCTTATCCTTCGTGTCGAATCCCACTTACGTGGGAGAATTTGAGCCAAAATTACATCCTCATTTATCTCATCAATATCTATCGAGCTACATTTTCATTTTTTAATATTCAGATACAAGAATTATAAGCATTAACAAAGACTACTGGATACTTACTCTTTTACCCATGTATTAACGTACAGATTTGAACCATAAAATGTCTCTGAAGTTCCATTCCATGTTTCCTTCACGAATCGATTGGAAGGATTGCGATATCGATCTATATCCAATTTTACTGTATCGGAAATACTGTCGCTGCTCAATGTTACTTCGCCAGTATTTGAGAGCTGCGCTGTCAATAATCGCAATAAAAGATATCTTCGGCCATCTTCGAATTTACCTTTTGTTTTGTTATACACTAAAAACATGCTAATAAATGTGGCATATTACTTATTATATTCAGCTTATTGTGTAATAAAAATTATCTTTCCGTATAATTTATTTAATTGAGAACATAGTGGAATGAATTTTACGATAATACTTTATGTCAGTTTAACCTTTTTGTTTCGATTTGAAAAATCTTATTATTTTAAAATACTATTTAAGTAAGAAGACAGGATTTTGTACTTACCCGTCCCAAAAGTATGTCTCGAATTCCCGTCTACACATTCCATAATCGCGAAATTCAAATGAATCATAAAGCACTGGCATCTCACTCGATTTCACTGGATATATCATTAAAGAACATACTTTACCAATTTTCCTCCAATGCGGATTATGTAAAGTGGGATAAGCTATGTCAATGTCGCGCCATAATATTCCTTTTTTCACTTTTTTATTTGCTTGTTTGTGGAAGCGAAGATTCCTTTTCATCGTAGATTTAATAACTTTATATCCTACCGTGACGGTCTTCATAATTGCAGCACCGCTCATTAACATTTTTATTATTATGCTCTGGAATCACATTAATTTGCGTAATAAATAGTTAATTAAAAAATTTTTAAATACTCAGATATAGGCTCTTATTATATAAAGACGAATAATAATAAGAAAACAATACAGGATTTCGTGCCGACGTAAGTTGTGAAATGTTTGTTGTTCATTCTTCATGATGTTAAAACAATGATTGATTAACATTCTTTTTTACCGATAACACGAATTATTAAATTATTAAAAGTTTTGATCAGTATCTGACCATCTTCAATAATAATAAAAAGTATAATATATAATATAATATAATATATGAAAAGTAATTGACCAAATATGTTTATATATTGAGCTCAAGCTTTCAGAATGCGAGAAAGTGATGTGAAATACTGGTAAGTTAATTGTTTATTGGACAATTCATTGTTAACGGAAAAGAAGAATGTTAATCAATCATTGTTTTAATATCAAGAAGAATGTAATATAAGCATTAAACAACTTTTGTCTGCTCTAAATTCTGTATTGTTTTTTAAATGTTATTTGTTTATAAATTTTTTTTTATTAAAAAATTTATTTTTTTGCATATTGCTTATCTCTTAATTTTCAAATGGCGAACATTTTAGTCGATAAATACCATTTCGTCGGTGTGTAGTTAACGATGAACTTTATCTGCTTTACTTTTCCACTTTTTAGTATTTCCACTGACAATTAGTATTACAGTCTCTTCGTTCTCCTCGAATGATCATACACTCTTATTGGTTTGCCGCTTCAGCGTTAACTGAAATCCAACAGCTTGCGCCGAGCGTTGGTTGTTACGTTGTTTATATCGTTTATGATGTTTTGACTTCTTTGATGGTTTATTATTGATATTGGTAAGAAGCAGAGTGTCTGACGATCGTACGGGTGGCTAGAAAATCGTCACATTTTATAAATTTTACAGGAGATTAGTAATACTACACACGCACGTTTATATTTCGGAACTGTTTGCAGTACCTTACTTTATATGGAACATTTTTCTACGTTTTTACTGTCCAGTACTAGCTGTATCGTAGATATCAGTATTAAAACATTTAGTATCCTTTCACGAAAAATGATAATAAAATTCAAATTGTAATACCATATTTTGAACAAAATGAAAGTTAAATTTTGCATTGCTTTCTTATAATCAAATTTAATGTGTTCTTTAAAATAAATTTTTTTAAATTTGTAACGTACACAGTTTTTCCGGTAACTCATTGGATTATATCTCTAAATTATTTCTCAGAATTAAAGATATAAAGTTTCTCTTTTGTCGTTTAATATTGTTTAATATTGTTTTGTCATAATATGTAATTTATAAACGCATTCTGTAGAATTTAATGTATTTTAAAGAATATTGACATGTGTTTGCATAGCATTTTAAAAATTATTCAGTAAATTAAAAAATTTTTATTGCGATAAAGATCAATTTTTTTGGATTTTTGGAAAAGGCATAGTTGAATGTTATAACACAATTGAATTGTAAGCGTTTTGTGAAGGGACATGTAGAAAAGGAGCAGGAAATTACAATAATGCATTTTTAAACTGCATATTTCATTTTTTTAATATTAGAAACAGAAATTATGTATGCGTTTTACGTTATTTCACTTAATTATAGACAAATTATTTTATGCAAAACAAAAGAAGTAACAATGAGACATGTGGTATTGTATCAGCAAAAATTAGCAAGTTATATAAAATGTTCAAAATGTATAATTAATTACGAACAAAAATATATTTTTTCTTGGATGTTAAATAGGAAAAATAAAATTTTATGTTTTCATATATTACTAAATTATATTGTCAGTTGTTATAAAATAATTCAAGTAGTCTTATATACATCTTTACGTGTTTGATATGCTAATATTTCTAACAATATAACGAAATAATTAAAAGTATGGAAAGAGAATATAGCGTTAAAACTGTCTAAAGTGATTTCTTAAAAATTAAAATTGAAGATATTGGAATTAGATGTGGCACAAATTAAACAATTTTAATTATTATTTTAATATTATGTTTAATTTATATACAATAATGCATGGTTTTATCTATTTTTTTATTAAATTTGGAAATGTTACAACGCTGTTAATTTCTTTGAACATATAATACTTATTTTTTATTACATTTTACAATAAAGTAACATTTATTATTATTTTTACAAATCACGGAATGTAAATAATTTCTAACTGTATAGCGAGATAGTGTGATAAATCTTTATATCTTACAGTAATTTTGCTTTGTTGGGATAGACATTTGCTGAATTTAAATGTAATTTGCACTTTTTCAAATATCTTTAATTTGTAAAATAACAATTACTTTATGATGATAATTATTTAAAAAACTCAAACATTTGATGATTTATTAAAGAAAAATGGGGAAAAAGTAGAACCGGTAATTAAATTGACTAACAAACTTGAAGATATTACTATTTCGATATTATTATGTTTAAAATAAACTTAAAATAAATATTCTAATTATTTTAAACAAAACATAGAATTTTTCTACTTTTAACTACTTCGCTAATTTTTTGATATAATTTACTTTTATAATCAATGGCACATATATGTCTCTCATTTCAATTTTCAATTTCAATCTCTTATTTGTGTTATACATATATTGGCATTATATATACTAATATTATTCACTACATAAAATTATGTTGATACTTTAAATCCAAAACCTAGTACCTCGAATTTTTTATCAATTTCACTTTTTTGTTGTTATGATAGTATTTTTATATTTTTATTTATTAAATTTTTTTAATGATCCCAAAAAGTTATTTCTTAACAATTTAAAATTACTTTAAGTTTAAAGTTTAAATTTAAATTTAATTTTTAATTCATGTTTAACAAATTAATCGAAATATGTTATAAATGATACGTAATGAATAATAATATATTTTTTAGTTACGAAGAAAGTAAATTCATTGAAGTCATTCAGTCATTGAAAAAAAGATAATAAAGAAGTTATGAGAAAATTAAATGTTATAAATCACTAGAAAGAATAAAATAACGTTAATATCGGTAAAATATCCATTGTTGTGTTTCATTTACAGACATTGAAAGCGCTAAATTATTTATCTATACATGTTTCTATAAAAGTCAATAAAGTAAAATTAGCTCAAACGCTTATTATGACAACGAAACAGTATTTGTTCAAACAATATTCTTTTTACATTTGTGTTATATATCAGAATAGTAAATATATGCTTCATCGTTCATCTTTACGTTCCCACCAGACCATAAGGCACAATAAATTCCCTTATGTTGGATTCTTTCATCAGCGCTAAACCGAGAATATAAAACACATATGTTTAACTTATTAAAAAGTAAAATAATAAGCACTGGAAAGAATCAATGCTTAAAGAATTATTGCAAAAATAGTATCACGAATAAAATGAAATAAATTGAATATTTTGCAGCAAGTTAGACTGTTTAACGAAAATATGTCAAAATTTCAAAATTAATAAAATTTTCAAAATAATGATTAGAAATTTTTAAGCAGACTATGTTTTTTTACAGAATTGGTCACACTTTTTATAACCATTATAAATGCTAATATTTTGAACGCTTTATTTAAAAATTTGATAATAAATATACATAAAGCATAGCTGTAAAAACAAAGATAGAATTAATTATTTAAGTGCGTGCAAATACCTTGGAACTGGTTTGACCTTTCTGAGAATTACATCGTCACCGATTTTTATCCAATCCCAGGTTTTCTCTATAAAAGGATTTATCGATTCATCGTCAGTGTCAACTATAATATTTGGCGCCACATGTTTAACCTTTCCATCTATCTCTAAACGCGTCTTTGATGTCATCAGTACAAATCGTGGTAAAGTTATGAATTTTCCCTAAAATAATATTAAATTAATTTGTGAAAATTTTTTTATTTTGAAATATATTAAAGCGATGTTTTGATCCAAATAAGCTCAACAATCCTAATGTCAATTTGTCACTTTTTAATGCTAAAAGACCAATTTCTTGCAACATTTCTAGCAACAAATTATTTATGTTACACGTGTTTATATTAGTTCATATTTGTGTCATAGAAAGCAATCAATTAATTAAAATGTGGGGATCAGTTGAGCAATTTGTTAGTAAATATGCTTTGTTTTTAGAAAATTAACAGTAAGAAAGATAATAAATCTAGCTGGAAATTTGAAACATTCCAGGAGTGATTTTTGAAAAATTATTTGTCACTTTTCTCCTTGCATAGAGGAAGTTTTTAGGCCTTCACACGAAATACAAAAGAGACCGATATGATACCGATAGTCTGCAGAAGACACAGTGTTTCGCATCGGTCCCTCTTAAACTCGTGAAACCACCCTAGATCATATAAAATTCATTTTTGCTATATTAATTCATTCTTGCTATACTAAAGATGATGATGACACATAATAAAAACTTTATTATATGACCGAATTTTGTAAGTGGTACAGAAAAGTTTCTTGATGCAAAGAAAGAAATGGGACACATCTGTTTTATCAGATTTTTTAAGTCTAAAAGTATCTTTCGCAAGGTGTATCGAATTAATTTCTTTTGTATTTCGTTTGTGGATCTCGAAACTTTTTCTGTGCAAAGGGTGAAATATGACAAATTATTTTTCAAAAATTGCTCCACAAAACGTTCGAAACTTTAACCAAATATAAACGTTTGTAACAAATGTTTAGTTAAATTTTGGCAATTAAGCGCGCGACACTAAGCACACTGCAATTCTGTTTCTTATGTTTGAAGATATACAGCAAAACCAGAAAATTTATTTTATGCTTTTTACTTCAGTCTTTTGTTTTTAGTTATTCATGTAACGAACAAATTTGTGCGTACGAAAACTAATACAAATTAATAATTTTATTTCTACAATAATGATTATTAATTATTAATTGAATATTACGTAATAATTACCGTTTCATCTTCTTCCATAGCTTCGTACCCTTGAACAAAGCGGAACCAATTGTCTTTTATTCTTTCTGTCCAACTCCCGTTACGTGGTTGCATTTGAGCCAAAGTTACATCCTCATTTGTCTCATCGTCATCATCTATCCAGCTACATTTGCATTTTTTATTATTCATATACAAGAATTATAAGCGGTAATAGAAATTACATGATACTTACTTTTTTAACCATGTATTAACGTGTAGATCTGAACCATAAAACGTTTTCAAAGTTCCATTCCATGTCTTCATCACGATTTGATTGAAAGGATTGCGATCTCGATTTATATTCAATGTTACTACTTCGGACAGTCTGTCGCTGCTAAATGTTACTTCGCCAGGGTTTGTAAGCTGTGTACACAATGATCGCAATAAAGGATATCTTCGGCTATCTTCGAATTTACCTTTTGTTTCGTTATACACTGCAAACATTCTAATAAACATGGAGTAAATATTATTTAGTACATTCAGTTTATTGTGTAATATAAATTATCCTTCCGTATAACTTATTTAATTGAGAACATAGCGGTATGAGTTTTACGATAAAATTTATGTTAAAACTTTTTTTTAGATTTGAAAAATTTTATTATTTTGAAATATTATTTAAGTAAGAAGACAAGGTTTTTTTTACTTACCCGTCCCAAATATATGTCCCGAAATTCTGTCTACACATTCCATAATCACGAAATTCAAATGAATCAGAATTCAAACTTATGTTACTCGATTTCACCGGAAATATCGCTAAATCAACTACTTGGCCAATTTTCCTCCAATTTGAAGATTGTAAAGTAGGATACTTTTTATCAGCATTGCACCATTTTTTAATTTTTGCTTTTTCACTTGTTTGTTTGTCGGAGCGAAAATTTTTTTTTATTGTAGATTTGATAACTTTATATCCTACTATGACGGCCGCCGTAATTGCAGTACCACTCATTAATATATTTATTACTCTGCTCTGGAATCACATTAATTTGCGTGATAAATAGTAAATCTTGTTTTTAATATTTACATACAGGCTCGTATAAAGAAAAGAGATTGTATAAAGAGAATTAACAATAAGGAGAAAATAAAGGATTTCGATTCGGCGCAATGCGTATAATGTTTGTATTACATTCTTCATGATATTAAAACAATGAATGACATTCTTTCTTTCCGTTAATATAAATTATTAAATTATTAAACGTTTCTGTCAGTATCTGAGCCTATCTTCAATAACGTAAAAGGTGATGTAAAAGTGACCAAATATTGTATTTATATATTGTGCTAAGGCGAAATGCGAGAAAGTGATGTGAAATAATTAAGTTCAGTGGACAGTGGATAATTCATTGTTGTCGGAAAATAAGAATGTTAATGAATCATTGTGTTAACACTGAGAAGAATGTATAATAATATAAGCATTAAACAACTTTCGCCAGCTCTAAATCCTGTATTGTTTTCCGATTATTTGTTTATAAATTTTTTTTTTTTTTATTAAAAGATCTTTTATCTCTTTGCATATTGCTTATCTCTCAATTATTTTCAAATGGCGGACATTTTAATCGATAAATACCATTTCGTCGGTGTGTAGTTAACGATGAACTTTATCTGCCTTACTTTTCCACTTTTTAGTATTTCCACTGAAAATTAGTTTTATAGTCTCTTCTCCTGGTTTTCTATCTTACAACGAATGATCAGACACTCTTATTGGTTTGCCGCTTCAGCGAGAACTGAAATCTGCAGCTTGTGCCGAGCGTTGATTTTTACATTGTTTGTTTCGTTTATGATGTTTTCAGTTCTTTGATAGTTTGTTATTGATATTGGTAAGAAGCAGAGTATCTGACAATCGAATAGGTGGCCGGAAAATCGTTACATTTTATAAATTTTGCAGGAGATTAGCAATACTACACATGCACGTTTATATTTTGGAGTTATTTTAATATTATTTTAATTTTATATTTAATTTATATATAATAATAGATGTTTTTTATTATGTTTATTTCACACAAATGCTACAACGCTGTTAATTTCTTTGAACATATAATATCTGTTTTTTGTTACATTTTACAATAAAGTAACACTTGTTATCGCTTTTACAAATCAAGGAAACAATAATAAATAATTTCAAAGTGCATTACGAGATAGTATAATAAGTCTTTACCTATGTCTTGTAGTAATTTTGCTTTCTTGAGATAAACGTTTGCTTAATTTAAATCCAACTTACATATTTATGAATTTTTTTAATTGCTAAAATAATAATTATTTTAAGATAATAATTATTAGAGAAACTAAAAAATTCAATAATTTATTAAAGAAAAATGAGATAATAAGTAAAACTGGTAAATAAATTGACTTAAAGTGTTGAATATATCACTATTTCCTTATTGTTATGCTTAAAATTAATATAAAATAAACATTCTACTTTTTTTAAACAAAGTATGGAATTTTTCTTCTTTTAAGTAATTTACTACAAAGTGAATTTTTAACTGAAACTTTATATATACTTCTATTTATAATATTCACAAATTAAAGTTTAATACATACATGTATGACGTTTATATATTTTTATCGTTTTATGTCTTTCGATGATTATAAAAGTTATATGTTTTTATGATTATTTATTTTGAGCTATTTCGATATTATAGATTGACGTAAATTGCATAATTAATTTAAACTTTGCTATAATCAGAATGTTCTTTTGTGTTTTACAGATTAACTTTGCAGATTAGCGGAATAACAACTTTGCGGCTGCGCACGTGGTGAGTAAGTGCGGTATTAAGAAGATTTGGAGGTATGCGTAAAATATGCGCGATGACCAGCGCAAGAAAGAAACAGTGAGAAATAGTGAGAGATGATATGAGGTTACGTCACGTGCGACAACAACTCCACCATACGGCTCACTCTCGAAACTCGTGTTCCCTCTCTTTCTCTCTCTCATGTTCATACGCTACATTCAGCGTACATTTTAGCGCGTACATTCCACGAATCTTTTAAATCTAAAATTGCGCGATCTTATTTTTGGTATTATTCTGTTATCTTTCGCACGGCGATACTCGTGCTGCGCGGATCGTGTGTCGGAGCATATTGGTACATACGTTATTTCTATCATTTCAACTATCCTAACAAGTACCATATTACACTTTTCTTACTTTCTCATTACAATTAACCTTCAAATTCACTCTCGCCACTTGGTGAGATAAAATTATTTCTTACAATTTTCCTTCTGTTGTTTTCTACAGAATATCAAATGTATCTATGCGATGATATCTATGAGTATTATCTTTGTTCTTATGTAAGTACGCGTCGAGAATACTTATATCGTATCGTACTTACGTACCATATAAAATGTTGCACGATAATAATCAACAGGATTTTTGCAAGTAAATTGCATTTCCATACTGAGAGGAGGATGAGGCGTAGAACGGGCATCGGAAATCAGTGGAGCAACTTTAAGGTATATCTCGTTATTTGTTACCTATTAATTGCAAAATGTTGTACATAATAAAATAGTTGAAATTTTCAGTGAAACATTTACAATGTTACAATATTACAATATTTAATATTTATGATTATTAGATTTTTTATATATTTACAATATTAAATATATTATTTCAGACATATAAATTTTTAATAATTCTATTTTTAACTATTTGCTTGAAAGACAAATAAAAAGTTAATATGCACAATTATTTATCTGATATTAATTATTGTAAAAGTTGTTATAATTTGGGTGTTTTTTTTTTGTATTTTAGATAACAGCAATAAAATACGCGTCGGAAGTGCCGCATAAAATGTCGTGACATAATAATTAATCAAATTTTGGGTGAGTGAATCGTGTTCTCTTATACTGAAAGAAGGAGCAGGCTCAGGATGAGCATCGGGCATCGGCAGAGAAACTTTAAGGTATTTCTCATTTATTTATTATTTGTATAAATGTACACAGTAAAATTGTTGAAATTTTCAATAAAACATTTACAATATTTAATATTTATGATTATTAAGTTTTGCTACATATTTATAATATTATTACTTCAAACACATACATTTTTAATAATTTTCATTTTCTAATTTTATTTTAATAATTTTATATTAAGCTGATGGATCTATAATTATTTTAGATATACTCTCAATTAACACATTGAGACTTACATCACTTTATATATTAATTATATAAAAGTTTTATTCTTCTTTATTGATTGCTTAAAAATATTTTATTTTATTTTATTTTAAGTATTTTATATACTTTTATTTTGAAAGTATTTAATCAATATAATTAACCAACATTCGCAAATAAATAAATAAACATTCAAGTATCTATCTTAAAAGAGTATCATATAAAGAAAGACTGTCATAAAAGAAAGAATTTTACGCGATTGATTCACTTAAAGTAGCTAATAAAAAATGGAAAATACAAATTATATCTCAATAAATAAGAATAATAAAATATAAATTTCTCATTGTACATTGATTGAATCGCGTATTTCGAAAGATTTATTTTATTCAAATTCATCGCGCGGGCAGCTGTACTCACGCAAAAAATTATGTAGTTTTGTCTTTTATTGTGTAAATATATCTTATTTTATGCGGAAAATTACATCAGCGAAAGAATATTTATAAAATCTTATGTGATTATCCAAATTTTTGTAATTTATTCGTTTTACAAACGCTTAGAAATTTATAACCATTATAGTGGGTCTCACGCATTTATATTACGTGAGTACCTATTTATTTTTAATTTTAATTTATATATTTATTCATTTGTGTTATAATAAAACGAAATAGTAAAAACTCAAAGAGCTTTAAAATGGAATTTAATGAAACAAAATTAATTTTTATCTTAGAAAACGTTAACAAATCTACCGATAAAAATTTTAAGAATATCATACAAAATATTTTAAGAATACGATAGAGAAAACGAAAAATACAATGGTAAACTATTTATTAAAATTAAAATTTTGAACGCAAGGAATATCTTGTAATATGCTAAATATTTTATATCACATAAGGAATTTCGACTCTAACTCATGACGAGGAGGGGCGGGTTTTTTAGGTTTGTTATTGTTTTCGTACGCGCCATATGATGTATATCCTCTCTCCTTTACTCTCACACTTTCTTTCTCGTACGCGTATCAGCACGCACATTCCTTTCTCCTACTTCTTCCAAATCACTTTTCGATCCTTCAGCGCGACCTTGTGTTTGCTCCTGGATTGTTATTATTCGCACGGCGATACTTGAGCGAAACAGATCATTTCGCGTATCGGCGCGTTATTCTTAGTATTATTCGTTACAGTTTCCCATCTTTCTTTCCCTTTTTTATCAGTATCTGTTGCGTACACTGAAAAAGTTGACACCTATTTAACAACTATTATAATAGGTAATTTTGAAACTCACTATAATAGTTGTAAATTTCCATGCGTTTGTAAAATGAATGAATTACAAAAATTTGAATAATTACAAACGATTTTTAAAATATTCTATCACTTATGTAATTTTCCACATAAAATAAGACATATTTACACAATAAAAAACAAAACTACATAATTTTTGCGAAATTACACAAATTTCTCTAAAATTCCATGATTTTTTATATTTATAATATTAATTTTGTAATTTTTGCATGTATTATTTGGTGCAAATTTATTGAATTTGTTTACAGTGTACATGGCAGAGTGTCGAAATGCGTGTTCCGTGCGATTCATGTAATATTCTAGTTTTATTTTTGTCATAACATGACAAAATACGCGTCGGGAGTGCCGTTTAAAGTGCCGTATGATTATCGTATTCGCGCCGCGAAATCGTGTGTGATTGCTTTGAAGAGCACTGAGAGGAGGAAGAGGCTCAGGAGGAGCATCAGGCGCCGGCTGAGCAACGCTTACGTAAATATTCATTTATTTGTTATTCGTAAAATATTGGGTATAAAATATTATATAATGTAGCGCATATAAAATATTTAAAATACTTTAAATATTTAGTAAAATATTTATTATAGTAAATTAGTATTCACCATTCTTAGAAATTTTTTACATATTATTTCAACTAATTAAACTTTTTTTTGTATTCAAAAAATATATTTTTGAAAATAAACGAATATACAGTTTAATGTGCGCAGTAATTATTTTATAAATATTAATTGTTTCAAACACTAATCTGGATTTATTTTTTTATTTTACAGATCAACTTTGTGCGCGTAATTGGTGCTACAAAATATATTTGTTCCGTCGTATAGTACAGCGCTCGGAATTAGTTGCACATTTCGAGCCGATTTCCGAGACGACGCCTCCTGTTCCCCCACTACCGCCCGGCTGCTGGCGGCCGAGCCGCCGATAGCTCTGGCGCAGGAGCGTTTTATATAAGAAATAAGCTGGGTTGTTGAGGTAC